AGCTGTACACACTAGCAGGTACACATCAGATGTTATATTTATATATACTCTGTACCCATTTACTGAGGGTATGAACCTGAGGGGCAGAAGCCTTTGCCAGCATTGGTAGAAAGGTTAAAAAAACACTGTGACATTTTGCAGGTCTATTACACACTGACTGGTAAACAAGCATACACGCCTTCAGGCAATTTAATGTCTCCAGCTCACTTGAATTGTGTCTTTGGACTGCAAGAAAAAACAAAAGCAAATGCCAAGGGCTACACTGAGAAAGGACAAGGGCTGAGGGCTGAATCTTTAGCTGTGGGGCGCTGGCTCGAGCAGCTAAGCAATCATGTTGCAAGCAAGAATAATGTGGTTGTGAGCGCCAAAGCTCATACACAGGTGGGCTGTGGAATAAGAGACAATACAAATCCAGGACTCATTTTGGACACTGATTTGACGTTTGGCATTCACATTAGTAGCATCACAAGGGTTTATCATCTATATGTCATGCTATAAGCCCATGTATGCATTTGCCATAAACATACTGGATTACTGCAATTCCCTCTTTGTGAGCCTCCTGGCTAAAAATGTAAGACCCAGGACAAAAAAGATCCCTCCAGTCCCCAGAAATCTCCATTTGCAGATGCTCCTTGGTTTATGAAGGTCTTAATGGCTCTACAGTATATCAGATACTGTATATCAGATAATGCTCTCCATTTACAAAGCCAGCAGACCTCCTAAATCACAAGGCACCAATATCCATCATTTCCTAAATGCCTGCTATGAATCTGGTGCGATTGCATTAAAAAACAATCTTAGATTTGCACCCTGATAGAGTTTGTATTTTATGGTTATGTTTTTTGTTTTTAGGATCATTATTTATCTTAATTTGACAGGCAGATAGATAGGACACATGGATGGAGTGAGGGATATGAGACACAACAGATGTCCTTCAGGCAGGAGTCTAACTGTAAATACATTGGATTTGACAATTCTGGGTGCAGAGTGGACTCAATTCAGATGGAGAATACATTATTTGTTCTTGGGTTACTATATCGTCCTTATAGATAATGTAAGACCTAAATTCAGCCATGCCACTTTGGCTGATACAGTAACTATACAGCACTAAATCTTCAATCAAAGAGAGCCCACCCCCTCATCAGTTTTCTGCTCTTTCCCTCATTGTTTTGCAGATTGACTGTGACTGTGCTTTCTATCTTTCAGTCATCGTCATCCTGGCGCTGCTGCTGCTCTTCGCTGGCCTGTACAGCATCTATGTGTACACGTATCAGCAGAAGGGCAGTTACCACACCAATGAACCCAAGAACCTGGAGTCTCCCAGCAGCTCCAGGCCGCTGACTGAAACCCTGCGGAGAGAAAAGAAGAACCTCCCGGAAATTGAAGAGGATTTCAGGAGTGACTAGCATCATGGGACCTATGGGGCAGCGGGTGGGGTTTGACTGGGAGGGGGGGTCCGGCAGAGGGAAATAGTACTTACAACAACCACGGATACCTGTATTCATTTTTCTAATTTCATTTTATTTTTTTCCTGTGTTCCATTCCCCAGTTGAGTGGAATCTGATGCCTGGTGCTCTTTTGGTATGTTCTAGTTTTGCTGGGTTCAAAGGTCAAATCAAGCCCCTGTGCTGCATGAGTAGCTGACAAGACTCACACTGTGTTGCAGGGTGAAATAATGAAGTGGCTCATCTGAGCTAGCTTGATCTGAAGTATCCACAATAGCTTATTCAGATAGGGTTCCGATCAGACACTGTGGGAAAAGGATATTAAGAGACTTTTATTTACAGTTTTGAACATCAGTTTGAGGTCATTCAGGTTTTTATTGATCGCTTTCTTTTCTGAGCCGTTTCTGAGACCGGTTAAAGCCACCGATATCTTGCAGCACAGATTTATCGCCATCTATAATAGACCTTTGGATGACAATCTCTCATTGAGTCATTTTTGACACTGTAGCTCATAATCCAGTTGGGGAACGAGCTCTGGGCATATCTGCGAGCTGGTGCACTCAACCAGCACATCAAAAAAAGGACAGAAAAAAAAATCCAAATCAAATAAAACTGGTGTTATTAAATAAAAACAACAAACCGAGGAGACAGCAAACTGACAAGCATGGAGCTTTGAGATGTTTAGCACTGAGTATAAAGATTGTAAAAGGTATATACGCTTCTATTTGTTGTATTGCAGCCTATAACAGTGCATTACCTATACTGAATGGCACATGTGAAGCGGTTTCAGACTTACCATAGTGTCAGTAGATAGCAGCTTTTCCGATCACAGTATACTCCCCTTCTCAGATACAGGGCCTCAGAGTTGAGAGTGAAGGTACTGCACCTCCGGATGTGACGGACTGTTGGTGTACTGCAGACAACAAAACAAAAGTCAAAGTGACGAAGCTCACCAGGGGACACAACGACCTAAATATTCAAGTCTTCACTCTTTCTGTCTTACTTACAGCTTTTATCGTGGGTCAAGCTGCCAGTAGCTCAGTGCTACAGAGCGTTGGATGTCAAAAGAATCACGTCTTCTCCCAAACCCTTTTCAGCCTCTTTCAGGTAACAGCTACTCCCTGTTGCCACGCGGAGAAGCATACACATAAACACACACCATACCATATGTACAGAGGACCACACAGATGTAAATGCTAATCTTTCACTTCTGAGTCACATTGCTTGAATATTTTTGCAAAACGCTGTACGACAGTGGCCGGCTGCTTGTTTAGCTGCTTTCAGTGGAAAGTTCAAGACTCTTTTTATCGTCCAAATCTAATTTTCTTCTCTGCTAAGATGAATTTTCATTTGACGTGTGGTGCAACCAAAGCTTAGGGCTATCATCACTCACTGCAGCTCAACTTATTTGCGAATGCACTATTGCGTATGTGAAAAAAAAAGGAATACTTGCAACATATCAGTGATGTATACGTAGAGCTACGATGTTAACGTCTCTTGTTTGTTTTGCAGATACACAATAGCACATAGGATGTTATGAGTGTACATGTGAAAATATGAATATAAATGTGTCAAGTGACTTTTTTAATTCCTACAGTTTATATCAAACAAGTTAAATTCAGACGAAGGGAGGTATTTGAATGTAAATCCTTTGACTCTGTAATGTACGAGCAGACAGTGAGGCTGCTTTAGCAATGAAAGTAAAGCTCAGGATAATGAAAGTACAGTACTTGTTCTCTGCAGGAACTAACACTCCTCAAAATCACTTGGTTGGTTTTCTTCTGTTGCAGGCGAGCAGGGCTGTGCTAAAAAAAAAATCTACAGCAACAGGATGTACAGCTGATAATGTATGAAAATGTACACATAGATCAAGAATTTACGGGCTATATTTTTGGACAATGTGCTGTGAGAAAGATGAATGGCAACGAGGAGTGAGCAGATAGAGTGAAAATGTTTTGTCTTCTGAACGATATAAAGAAACATTTGTGGTTTTTTTTGTTAAACGGACAATTGCCGCTCAAACGTTCATACCCGGTGCAAACCAAATCAACGAACGTGGCTCAAACATGCTTTGTCACCTATTAGGAAAGAGCCAACTCATGTATTCTGTAAATGTATACACCTCACTGTATTCACTGGTAAATATAAACATTCAGCTTATATCAGTGTTACTTCATTGCAACTCACTTGTTAATTCATGCACGGTCCCTGGAGCTTGTGTGTGTGTGTGTGTGTGTGTGACTGACTGAATGTGTAGGTGTTTGTGTATTGTGTCCACCAAGATACACCTTACTGAAGTCACAATGACTCATCCAAAAACAACAACAACAACAACAAATGTGCACTGATGCCAATAACCAACCACTTACTGTAGTGCACCAACAGTAGTAGATATAGCTCAGCGTGGCTCCTCCGTGTTCAGGTATCAAACGTCTGTAGTGTGAGATTTCAAACACAGTGGATCTCTGCTGAGGTGTGCAAGGCCTGCATCTTCATAATGGAGGCAAGGGTGTGCGTGGAAGCCAGATAAAATGGCCAGGAGAGGGAGCACACCAGCAGGAAGTTGCTGGCTCAAACAGTGTATCTGCTGAACCCCTAAAAAAAAAGCCATCTAGTGAGTACTGTTTTATGCTTTGTTTACTTTCAAATTAGACTAAGATTAGCATCAGTATAAAAAAACCCATTAAATAACAATTCAAATTTAAATACTGTATTCAAAGTGGCATAAAGTTAAATTAGGGTTAGTTAATAAAAAGAAATGATTTGCATGTCACTTTTAATGCTATAAAATTCTAGTACCTATAAAAGAACTTATTGACACTAATAAATCAGCAGATACCGGTTCACAGTGATATCATGTGTGAGTGAGGAGAGAAGCACGTTCTCAAACCTGAATCCTTCTGTAGCGAGTACCAGAAACAATGACTACAGTTGTGTTTGTGATCACACTGTCATTAAGGAGATTTTCTGTTCCTCAGTGCGCTTGATTTTGTTTTGTAAATCTCTCACTGTAAATGACCATTACTGTGTAAATCAAGGCAAAGCCAAACTGTCACCTAAATAAAAGAAGCTTGAAGGAAACTGCTCATGTGTTGTTGCTTCCACCGAGGAGGCTACATGTCAGCCCGTCTGATTATTTGTGGCTTTGTTTGTCAGGAGGATTACGCAAAAGCTACTGATCAGATTTCCATGAAACTTCCATGAAAGTGGAATGACGGGACAGAAAGAACCCATTTAATGATGGTGACTGAACAAAGGGGTGGATTCAGGGATTCTTTTTTTTTTTAATCACATTTGTTTAACATTGTGTTTCAATTAAGGTGTAAGACAGTTTCACCAGTTTTTCAGGGAATAGTTTAAGGATCTTGATGAAAAAAATCAGGCATTTTAAAGTAACTGATGACTTAAAGCAATTTGGTGCAGCTAGATTGAATTTAAAGGGATTCTTGGGCCTTGACGCAGGAGTGCACTCTACTACTTTTAGGCGAAATGCTTTTTGATCAACACACAAAAGGACAAGTGCTGCGTGTCTTAATGTATAAAGTTAAAGTTTTATTTTTATAGGCATACACTGTACATATCAGTAAACTCCATTTTGTTCATCTCTGTTGAGTAAGATCTCATTTCAAAGTGGGAATTAATGTTTTAAAAATGAAAAACAGAGCGGATAAAAATCTGGACGTATAAAAAAAAGTAAAGACAAGATGATAAATGATATTTTACATTCACATGTGGGGGACTTAAATATTTGGTCAAACTTTTTGTTTTTCCCATTGTTAAAACCTTGCAGAAGTTACTCTTCCACACTGTTTCAGTCTTTTCTCTGCGTAGAAACATTTGGCACTTATTTACGATTTTTAAAGGAAGACATTTACTCTGTGACTCGTTCATTTGTCAATAACTTGCCTCACAAAGTGTGACGGCTTCAAGATCATGTAAACATGATTCGAAATGTTTGATGTGTGCGTACGTCGCTCAGAGTACCAATCTGGAATGGGTTGACGTGTAAAAAATGAAAAGAGGGGATGAGATCTCTTCGTCCACAGGTTACATTCAGTCAGTCGGTTTCTCGTCTGGTTGCCTATTTTTTTTTTTTGCTGAACAATGATATAAATGCACAATAACTTATTTTACCATAGAGATGTGGCGGAGAGGCCTGCCACTGACGGGGTTCACAGAGGAACACACCCGGTCAAGTTCCTCTGAAGAGGGTAACATCACACTACGATACCGAGTGTCTGACTGAAGCTAAGGCTGTGGCTAACACGTTTAATGGTTTGATTATCCAAGAGACAGCACATGCATTTCACCGATCATCATCGGGTACGAAGTAAAAGCTTACGTTACGTGTTGAGAAGTCAAACAAAAGCCCGTCTATAAGTACAGTAACAAAACTGCTGAGAGAGATTAACACGCTGCATGATGGGTAATTGTTGCCTCTTTGCTTTGACAAGATGTAACAAAAGAAAATGTGCAATGTGGTTTAATAGTATTTCCACTTTAAATGGTTTCGTTTCATAAGCTTGGCGTATACAGTCCTGCGGGTTGGTGTGGACAGATGAGGAGGAGGGCGAGCCGACAGCTGTCCCTGATGGCAGCGGTGCGGTGTCTGCAGAGCAGCGGCACCTGCAAACCATCAGCGAGGGACTGTCTATTTTTGGAAGTGCAGCAGAGAGGAGTGAGACAGTGAGTGTTCGGAGAAAGTCGTCAGCCAGACGTGACACTGCAGAAAGGGACAGAAGCGTTATTAGGTGGCTGAGGAGCTACAGGGGGACAGGTTGAGGTTGTACGCAGCAGGTGCAGCTAAGTCATGTCCACCTCCCTCTCTATCCCCACATACTTGAGGGCATCGGCTTGGCTGTATCTGTGGGAGGAAGAGGAAGCAAAGTGTCTTAAATGTGCAACATCTACAGAAAACAAACAATCACAGTGTACTTCTGCGTTGCTTTTTTCTTTTTCTTTTGTATTTTACTTTGAAGCTGATGGAGAGTCACAAAAAAGCCTGTGACTCTACCTGTAGTCAAAGAAAAGCTCCTCTCCTTGCAGGATAGCTCGTTTGGCAAAGATCCCGATGCGATGGTCTCCGTTCACCATTACCACTGCAACGGCAACAGAGAAAAATGTCAGCCAATCTCTTAATTCACATTACACTTCATGCAGAACTGAGTCAGTCTCACCTTTTGCGTAGCAGTTGGGATTAACTGAATGATTTGCAAAGCGGATTTTGTTCCCCTTTCGTGTGGCATCCACAACAAAGTCTACTGAGAGATACACACAGAGTTTATGAAGGATTACTTAACACACTGCAGGGATAGGGCACGGCTGTATAACATTAAAGGGAGAATGGGGAATACTTGCCATTGTTTAAGTTGAAAAGGAAGCTGGACATGTATTTGTCGTAGATCCTGCCACGTCGGTCTGCCTCGTCCTGGGAGATCAGCTGCACACACACACAAACATGGAACAGTGTCATCTATCTGAAAGCTCCTGAACAAAATTATCTTAATCTGAGCAAACAGCATGTTCTTGCCTCTCCGCAGTACTCTGAGATGAATTCATTCTTCTGAACAGGCTCTTTGATGAAGGTGCCCCACCCGGCGATGTCTGACGGAGCCAGCAGCAAGTGCTAAAGTGGAACAACCTATATGAGTGACCTTAAAACACTGATCTGCATCCATAATGACAGATTATATCGTTTTTGGCTGCTGAGACCTTCAAGTGTCCTCCTTTACCTTTTTCAGGCCTCTCTGGATGCTGCAGTTTTTGCAGGAGACCACTTTGCTGTCCCAGTGGTCTGCAGCTCCGCAGGTCATGCACAGATCTGGGTCGCATTCCCTCACAGCCAGGTAGCAGGGACACTGTTTGGTGTTACACTGAGTCTTACACCTGCAGCCTGGGAAGCGGTTCTGGCCTGGAAAACATTCAGAGCCAGCGCTGCTCAGAAAGGGGCTATGCAGAAATATAATACATGACTGGGCAGAGCACAATATGATTATGATGGATCAGTTCAATCTCCAAATGCAGCTGCAGCACAGAAGCTCAATGGCTGAGAGACTCATCGGAGACCTCTGCTGGCAGATATGCTGAAATACAATTTTGCAGAGTGTAACACAACACCCTCTGGGCAGGTGACCGCAACGAACAGGCAAGAAAAACCAAAACGTCTTTTCAGGAGCCTCTGCTTTGTCAAAACCGTCGACCAAGAGCTCCAGTCAGACCTTTCTCCACTGCTGCGGTGCTTTAACCTTCCATGCTCGGCCTGTGTGAGTTATAATGCGTCAGTATTATCGAGCAATGTTTAGCCGGAGCAGCCTGAGTCATGCTGATGTTGCAGATGATGTTGTATATCAGGCACAGAGCCTGTCACATCCCTCTGATTCCTCTCCAAGTCTTTTAAAGCACGCACATGTGCAACCAGGGGCTGCTTCCTGTTTGGCCGCAGCTCTCCCCTGCTACGGGAAAAGGCGAGGTAACGTTCGGGTAAGGAGGAGGAGGAGGCGGGGGGAGGCAGGGAGAAGGTGACTGGACCGCAAGTGATGTACAAATGAGGCATAACCAAACCAAAGCAAAAATGTTTAACTCTTCATATCCTCGTTCTTTGGTGAAAACTCCCCAGAGGACAAAATACAAAATGCATTCCTCCACCGTGTGGTCATTTTGGAAAACAAAGTTCTGGGTCATTACCGCTGCAGCAAATGCCTCATTGTGAATGCAGCTCTGTGTTAAACAGACACCCACCTATCCCCGCCAGAGGACAGCTTCTCCTCTGACTGCTGCCAGAATACTGCAGAATCGTTTTACATTCTGCTGCCCTGCTCTACTGTGGCCTGGCAAAAAAAGGGGTTTTAAAGCTACTGGGAGCTTCCAGTGGAAAATGTGGTGACAAACTATTTTCTTTTAGCTTCACCAGGCAGAACAGGCTTCATTTGTGTGTCTTTGTTGCGTTTATGTAAAAGAAAGATGCACACACTATGTGAGAGACAGGTGAAACAGAAAAGGTGACACTCACACTCGTGCTCACACTGACAGAACTTCTCGCAGAAATTCTGGGTCATCACACACGGGCAGGAGCTGTCGCATGGATGGTCGGGGTGGTCACATGGTTGGTAGTTGTACACCTGATTGGATGAGTTATCTGGAGCAACAGAGGACAAAACCCTCAAGACTGGCACAGAAAGCTGTTTTGTATTTCAGAGGGCAGTGTGGTAAAAGTCACGCCGGGATAATTCAGTGTGGGATGAACGCACCTTTCTTCAGCTGAATCTTCGCCCATAACCTGCAACATCAAGCAAACACAAGGGAGAGGGGTCATGTGAGAATCCTGTTCCACACCCGTTCAGTTTTCATCTTCTTAAGAGTCCAACATTTTAATTTGAAAAGGAAATCAAATGCAATTTCTTTTTCATCCTGCCTGTGTTTCCTTTTCTTCTTTTGGGGTGAGATGCCTCCATCCTCTAAAGGAACCCGATGGATCAGGACCTCCTTCACTGCGAACTCGTACACCTGAGGGCGGGATTAAATGTCATGAAACAACATCACATGGAAGAGTTATGTTACTGCTGTGAAGAAATTCGGTTCCCTCCATCCTAATTATGTTGTGTAATGTGCCATTCAAGCTGAAAACCACATTGTCTCGATTACGCCACAGAACATCCTGACCCCCCCCAACCATCCTCTGTTGTCAAAACTCCACCGCACAGGCCAAACATACACAAACATCTGCATGGACACACACAAACACATCTCCTGGCCAGCAAGACCAGAGTTTGGCCTCTTGCCGAAGACAAACATAATGATGCAGCTGGTTTTAGCATTTCAACTTGATTAAAAAGTGGGCGGGGCATTCTGGATACAGAGGGATGAAGCTGCTTCAACATGTCTGTTATCAAAAAATGAGTTTTATCTGTTTTATTATCAGCTCTAAGCTGAACAGTTTTTTTTTGTTTTGAGAGCTGTACTCTGTTATGTAATATGAGTGCATGAGAGACGTCACATCTGGAAAACATCCCTGTTTATGGTGCCACATGCCATTCTCTCTGTAGTCAGCCCAATTATCCACACCATAAAACCACACGCACAGGATGCATGTTATTACACTCGCACTGACGCAAAAGCAACGGAAATCAGCGACGCAAGTTTGTTTTGTGCTCTGTTTCAAAACCACTACGCATCACTTTCAGGATCAGTCATTTCTCCCTGTTTAGCATTACAATGAGAAAAGCAACTGAATTCTCATAAAACCTTTTGCTTCTACTTTCAAATCATCACAATTCCCACGTTTGAAGTGAGATTCTTTTTCTAGTTCTGCTCGACTGAAGTTTTAAGAATTTTTAAAATCCATCTCCAGCTTTTTTCTCATTCCAGCATCTGGTGTTTTAAAGGGCAACTCCCCACCTATTTAACACATCAAAGTGTGTTTCCAGGTCTTGGGGAGTATTATTGCTGTGATGTGAAAAAAGCTGAATCAAGCTTTTTGTTGCTCCTGAGGGAGCCGAAAAAAGTCTTTTTTCTCAAGTGACGACACTTGAGGCTGTTGAGATTTTCTCTCCATTTGCCAACATTTACTCGCTGTGGGAACTGTTTGGTTTCTCTATAAAAGTGTGAGGTCTCGACCTTCCAATATAAAGTGCTTTGAGATAATATATATTGTCTTGTTAACTAGAAATTTGGACTGCTCCTCATTACTGACTAGCTTTTCAAGGCTATACTATAACGCACCTGATCCAGTTTAGGTGTTGGCGGTTAAGGTGCATTGTGGGTAATGTAGGCACCAGGTTTTGACAAGGGGTTCATGATATATCTGTGGAGAACCCTTGAGAAGGTGTAGGCTGTTTTGCAGTGTGATGTGTTTCACTGGCAATAACAAACGTGTGATGTTACAATCTCACATGCAGCAACTTAAAAAACAGGATTTGTTTGGATCTATGTCATACAGTCATTACTAAGACCACATTATTATTTTTTTAACAGTGAATGCATATAGCAAAGTCATTTGTTCTCTTTGTCAGAAGAAACAGGCTGAGGTGGGAAAACTCAAAAACGTGCAGACATTTCACCTCCTTGCAGTTCTTGGTACCGATGAGACGCGCGATGGAGCAGAAGTTGTTGAAATATGTGCCGTGAAGGACCCTGAACAGCGACTCCTCCGCCCCGCTCCACTGGACCACACAGCATGGCTGCTGCTCGCCGTCATCATCCCCTGGACGCAGCTTGGTGGGAGTCTGGCACCGTGAATTACCCTCTGTTTTGCACAAACACACACACACACATGCAGATATACACAAAAACAAACGTCAGTATTACTTACTAACTACTCTTGGCAGACAGTTTGTTTCATATTTTTGGAACCTGCACACATGCAGCAGCACATGCAAACACTTTTCTTCCATTACTTGGTGTTGGCAGCATTTCATCTGCACGCACACACACACAAACACAGACAGGCACACGCACGCACACAAAAACACACACATATACACAGACACACACAGACACACACGCGCAGACACATGCACACTCGCGCACACGCACACACACA